TCAGATTCACCGCACACCGATCTTATTAACTCCTAGATCTATCAAGCTCGACTTGTCTTCTCAAGATATTTGATATATCTACTATAACAATGGTATATTTGATTTGTTGGGAACACGCGGCCGCCGGGTGTTCATCGGGTGTTTCTTACGGCGAGCGGTGACCGTTTGTCATTACGGTCCATCCTGCCGGGAGTGCTCGGCGGGCCGGGGGCAGCCCTGCGCTCACCTTGTATATAGGTGACACTAGCACAAGCATCAATTAATTTCTTTTACTGAAACATTGCACAGATAATATTAGCGATTAAACATAATTGTATATCGGTAGTACAGCATTATCAATTAATAAATATAATATATTTAATATATACATATATACTTTCACATTAATGGCCGGCCGCCGCGGCTATCTGTCTGTCTGTCTGTCCGTTATCTTTCGAGACCCGTAAAAGGTGGACCCCACAAACCATATATATTTAGCTGATCAGCCCCCATGACGCTACTACGACCTTTAGGCCAAAAACTATGTACAAAGAAATGAAAAAAAAAATAGGGGGAAAAAAAAAGAGAAAAAAACGATTTTTTCTTTTTTGGAACTTTACTTTTTGGTCCTTTTGATAAGACGGGTAAATATGATTTTTGGCCACTTTCGTGACTAAAAGATTTGCCAGTGGCAAGCTTCATCTGGACGATGGCAACCATGAGCCCAAAGGGCGCCTTTGAAGCACTCGACAAGGACCCATCAACGACCGTTGGCCACACAAGACGTCATGGGAGTTGGGATCGGACTGTCCTGCCTCACAGACCCAGCGCGAATTTCGCCAACCTTGCCAGTCATCGCCAAAGAAACAAGAGACAGATGCTTTAATGCTGCATTAAGTATGTCCCTCTACTTCTGGATAAGCAAGGGCGTGTGAACCGCCAAGCCTGAAGACCAACATGAGGGTGCATGCCTCAGCGCGTGAAGAAGCTGGCCCCGCTTCTCTCAGAATGCGGGGCACGGTCGGCAGGGCGAATGGCAGATTCACCACCACGCTGCATGGCCAACAACGGTCAAGGTGCATTCGGCAAAGCAGCGGCGGTCATCAAACCCTCGCCGGATGACGAAAGTCTTCCCAAACCTCCACCTCCAGATTTGGCGGCTTGTTCCGCCGGTGACCATCAACGCCAAGCCTGGCTAGTAGACCTGCCTGGCGACCCAAGCGAGCTACAAGTCGATGGACAAGTTCCTGATCCTGCCCAGGCGGCTGCACTATCGACGCGAGTTTCGTCAACAGCCTGGCGCCCTCAGGTCTGCAACCACACACTTGTCTCAAGTCGGGCGCGCGCCATTATCTGTAATGGGCGGCAACTGGAGGCCTCCAAGCTCCTGCACGCGGCAGCAAGGCTTACAGTTGACGCAGCTCATGCTCAGAGTCATCGAAGCCAAAATCTGACAGACAAGGCAAGGGCAAAATTTCTTCATCTCACCAAGGATCCACTTCAATTACCCATCAGACCGTGCATTTGGTTCAAGAAGCTGCAGTCTTCCAGTACAGTGAGCTTTGCCCATGTCCATCAAGACAAGGCCCAGGCAGGTCCTCAGGGTGCGTTGCGACTCAACCCTCAGTGAGCCAGTGTTCTCCATGAGACAGCCTCTTATGATGGGCACGTGTGCTCCAGGGTGGGTAATTCCAGACAACCTCTAACATCCTCTGCTCCAAGATGGCAAGACCAAGGCAAGTGTTGTTGTACCAAGAGCGTTGGAGAACTAAACAGAAGCTGAATTCTAGGCGACAGATTCTAGTAAAGTCCCTTCCATCTTCTTCCCAAACCTGCCACCTTCCGCTACGCAAGACCAGACCTGGGCCTGTGCGGAGCGAGCCATCCGTTGCTCCCAGGAATTTGGCCTGTGGATGACGATGCAACGCCAACGTGCCTGGAGCAACTCGGCTCCTCGCGGCGGCCCCGACCCAGACGAGGCTACAACGTCGAACTGGACACAGTTGCCTGATTTCCTGACCAGGAAGGCTGCACTACTCCCACCGAGTTTCTCACACGGCCTGCGCGCCCTCAGGTCTGCCACAACGCAACTTGGTGCTCAAGGTCGGCCGCCGCCATATTGCTAATGCGCAACCTGGATGCTCTACAAGCTCCCTGAACCGGCACAAGGCTCACATAAAGAGCTCATGCCCAGAGTCATTCAAAGCGCAAAAATCGTGACCAGGAAGCGCAGGCCGAAAAATGTCTTTATCCAAGGATCCCGCTGTATTCCCATCAGACCTGCCATCTTGAGTTCAGAGGGCCTGCAGGTTTCCAGATCAAGCTGAGCTTTGCCATGTTCTCAACGAAGGCCAAGGGCCAGTCCCTCAAGGTGATTGGACCTCTAGGCGCAGCTCTATGATGACTGGTGGCTCCAGGGTGAGCCGGTAACCAGACACCGTCTACATCCTCTCTCAAGATGGCATACCAGAATGTGTGTGTACCAAGAAAACCGGCTTGCCGGAACTGAAACCAGAAGTGGCAAATTCTTATGGGACCGATGATTTATAAACATCGAATCAACATCAGTACAGCCGTCATGACAGACTAAATTACTAGGTCCTTTTCCTCCCTTTATCGCCGCTGGCCATCCGCGCGTGGGTATAGCCCCAGCTACGTATATACATATATATATATAATTATTAGTTATAATATATTCCTATACGATATATATATCATAGCTGTAATACCTATTGATATTCATTATTTACAACGAACGATTCTCGGAAATAGTTAGCTTTACGCCACTGTAAATTACTTTCCATTCTAAATGACATAGTATATTTATTATCAGTAAGGACTAACACCTTATTATTTTATTGGTCATTAATATAAATATAAATATAAATATATATATCATATATATATTAATCATAAATATAATTAAAAACATTATATATATAATATAAATATTAAATATACAATAAGTACTATATCTAATACTATATAATATATATCTCAGGAGTAGCTAATAGGGATAGACACCTTTATTAGGCGATAGGAACCCTATTATCTACTCCCTGATTATTATGATATATAATATAAATATATATTTATATATTATCTATCCTATATATGCATGCATATATGTGAACATTATTCGATACCTTACACATTTCCCTTCGATCCGGGAGCGTCTTCAGCTCCTGGAATTCCCGGGGATCCCAGCAGGTTCCCGGAGGATCCCATGGGCCGTCCCCTTCAGAGGGGGCCTGTGGATCACTAAATCCTCTTCGGCGTCCCCTGGAGAACAAGCATACGCGGACGAAATACAAACAACAACACACTATACCTATATACTATCATCCTATAGTATATATTATATATAGTATTAATATATATTATATATACGAAATGCGGTGTCATATGTTGGATGGAAGCTTTTTGAGGACATTATTATTCCCTCTAGTCAGGCCTGCTTTGCTCATTACAAGCATTAAGAATATATACTGTATAATATATGTACATATCAGTATTATATTCATAGACAGACGTGACCATATATTCTTCCTAACGAAAATATAAACATTAGACGAATTAGGGCGTCAAGGCTACCGATCCTGAATCACTTATATTTTTACCTTGCTGCCAGCCCTGAGGAATGCCTCGCTGTGCCCCGCGATGAGGCCATACTTCCGCCCTATCTATCTTAATGTACGAATTCATCGGAAATTCACAGACATAATGAGGATAAGTTCACGCGTAAACCTACTAACGCCGGGACGTATTCCAAGATATGATATGTGGACTGCTGCTATAACGGTTTGGATAGACTTTATTTACAGGTCCCTCATTTGCGTTTTCCTCAAAGTATAGTTTCGTCTATTCGATCACTATATATTTTAGGCATTTCCCGTGTATATCCCACTGTCTCTATCTTATGCCTTATCAAACTCTGTTGTAACATGAAGTACAGAATGCATCGATTAGCCTCTGTTTGATATAGGAAAATAGCCGTCCAGCAAGTTTTTTTGTAGACAAATGCTGGCGCGGGGAGACGTATAGCCCATCTGCCTTTAGCACGTACTTTCTGTAAGCTGTTATCTTTCTATTAATTAATTACAGGAGGGCCGTCGCTCTGTTTGGCCAATCCGGCGAAGACCTTGATCTCTCTCCTTCCTGGGAAAACAGCGATATAAACTAACATGGGGTCACAACTCATAGTTTGTGTTGCCCATACGATGCCATGACTTACCGTGCTACTAGCCTCATGTCCTAGATGATTGACAGCGCGCTATGACGTCATTTTCAATGAGGATATTACATTGAATAACAATCGAGGATCTTACATTGATTTACAATGTGGATATTACTTGAATATACAATTCATGGATATATACATTGATACCTACAATGTGGATATCTACAGTTAATAGTTAACAATGTGGATATTACCAATTTATATACAATGTGGCATATTACATTTATTTACAATGCTGGATTTTTACATTGATATAAAATTGAACTCATCTATTTCGTCATTTTACTAAGATTACAGTGAACTACCATGTCGCCTTTCTCTCAGGGATGCAGTAACCGGGGGTATCCAGGGTAGGACCATGGGCCCTGGATGGTCCTGGTGTTCTCACGCCTCTCATCTCGTCCTGGCGTTCCCTGAAACAGCCCAAACGCAATCATTCTTTTACACTTGGTGCCAAAGGATACATGCTGATATTTGTTTGACGGAAGTACACGCCGCGCGCGACGGTCGCTTTATGTACACAAACACCACTGCTTTTTCAAGCATTCCTGAGATTTGTTGCCGCAGCTGCTATATATAAGCAACCATATAACCAACCCTTCTTATACTGCCTGTCTCCGCAGTTCTCCATATTGGACGATCCCTTGTGGCTCATCGAGGCGTCCGCCTTCCCATCCTCCCCCTCTCCCTCCCCCATCCACCAACCACCACTATGCTCTGCCTCATGCGCTCTATGCATATCCATGATAACAAGTCATTAAAGTTACACAGTTGTATCTTTATTACTGTACTACCGGTACTAAAGCAAAGCCTATCATAGATTTTAGATCTGTATTAGTAGTATCCTAGATGTATGCTCTGAGCGCGAACGCGGTGGCGGGAGGGCGCACTTGATTTGGTTGCCAGTGAGTTTATCAGAAGAATACCCGGCTACAGTACACGTCAGTTGAGCGCTGTCGCTCTGTGGCACTTGTTAGTTAATACCAGGGACTCCAAATCCCAGGGATCCAGATACATAAATGGTTTAATTTACTAGGCGTGTATTTTATACTGTATAGTGTTTTGTCTTGGTATACTTTAGTATATTTATTATTACATTTCCATTATGTGTGTGTGTAAAAGTGATGTATCATGTATGATAACAGGGCCTACGTGGAAACCAGCATTGTTGTTGTTTTGTAGCTTCCCTGTTTTGATAAATAAAATATACTACTACTACTACTATCGTGATGTAAAAACTTTGTTAACAATGTTGAGAGGAATGAATAAATTTTTGTATGATCCAATTGATATTGCCAGTCCGCGACTTGCTACGGGGTATCATGCGATTGAAATTGTTGTATCATTGTTTATAGTTAATCAATTATTAGTTAATTATTATTAATTATTAATTTTATATTGTTTAACGATACCCAACTCTCCTTAGTAAGGAAGATTGTTTCCTAAATGGTTGTCTTACTGTACAATTTTACAAATAAATATAATTTTGTGACATAAACAACTGTCTGTTATTGTGTAGGTGACTGTTATTATATACTGCCCCATGCCCAATTATATATAGTATCTCGTGTACGAGCAATGTAAAACTTAAAATGCAGCATATATTGGTAGCGCACAGGAGATGAGCTATGAAAATATTTAGAGATGTCGTGACGGTAGTGGGAGCAGTAAACTTACAAATGCATATATATATATATATATATATATATATATATATCAGGAGTAGATAATAGGGAAAATAGGGATAATAGGGATATATATATATCAGGAGTAGATAATAGGGATAATAGGGATAATAGGGAAAGGTTACTTTGAACCGAAAAGCTAAATTTGCAGGTTAACGGTCAATATGTTGAACATGTACAACACTTTAAATATCTCGGTGCTTTCTTTGACAGCTCCCTCACATGGGAGCATATCATATTGAAAAGTTGCATGCTAGAATTTCTCAAAAGCTTGGTGTTTTAAAGCGAACTAGATCTTTTATTTCTATGGATACGAGTAAACTCTTATTTAATGCCATGGTATTACCGTTATTCAATTATGTGGATATTATCTGGTCATGTTGTAACGAAACCCTTATGAACAGGATCCAACGTCTGCAAAATAGGGTTGCTAGGATTGTATTGGGTTGTCACCCAAGAACTCATATTATAGACATGCTCTAGACATTAAATTGGTTGCCATGCAAAGAGCGTGTTGAGCTACATAAAGTTTCCATGATGTTTCAAATTGTAAACTCGCATGCTCCGGACCATTTATCGAGCCTTAATTGTTACCAAGACGGATCAAATTCATAACTATGCAACTAGAAATAGAAATAAGATGTTTTTACCTTCTGTTAGATTACAATCTGGAATAAATAGTTTTAGTTTCACAGGATCAATCTTGTGGAACAACATGCCTGAACAGATAAGAAACTGTGATACGCTAGCGCCTTTTAAATCGAAATATATCAGGTTTTTAGCTCGTCTGACGAAATCTGATCGTCCGTCCGTCCGTGCGTCTGTCCGTCAACAGTTGGGCACAAATCTTACGTACGGTCATGATATTCGGGATGTTGGGGGATCGCGAAAAGGACCCAGCATGGCGAATTTGGGGGGTCAAGGGTCAAAGGTCAAGAGGTGTCAATGGAGGGGGAACATTTCCTCCTTAACTTAAGGTATAGGAGGAAATACGGAATTGCGGCACAAATCTCAACGGCTTGACCTACGCTCTTAATATTCGATGTATAGTGTGATGGGGAGGAAACCCATCACCAGAGGGAAATTGGAGGTCACAGGTAAAAGGGCAGTGGGGAAAGGTCAGATATCAGACATTTTCTGAGGACATGGTCTAACGGACCGAGTGAAAAACTTTTTTGTTTCAGCGCTGACCTACCATTTTTATCACTTTATTGAAAGGACCATGAAATGTGCTAAGGGTAAGTGTCTGATAACCTTTTGACCCTCAAGAGGTGGGGTAAACACGGATTTGTTGACTGTTAACAAAGGACTGAACTGCTTTTGCTATTAGAGCCCCCTCCACCCGCCCCTTCCCCATCCTCTCTTTTGATTGCACATATTCAAAAATTCCCTACTTGGGCGAGGGGAAACACCCTCCCCCGTTGAGAAATGTGCTTCATCGGCGTCTTGGTCGCCTTACACTCTATTTCTTCCCTCCTGAAAAAACACTGGCTTCGTACACCATTTTCACTGGGCTAGCTAAGGGTCCACAACTGGTCGTGTTCGTAACCTCAGAGTCCTTCCGGCCGCCCACAGCCAGGGCCCCATCGTCTGCCACGTTGACCGGATCGGATGGACAAAATAAAAAGACGAGGAGGGAGTTATAACGGGTTAGCAATATGCCAACTCTCATATAAGTTAGCCCTAATACTGAACTTTCAGTGTGCAAGAAAAGCCATTTTCCATGCACGAAGTTTCAAAAATCTCCCTACCGTGGGGGGATACCCCTCCCACACCCTACAAACCCCTGCGTCGCTTCGCTTCCCTCGCCTTGTGGCGCCACCCCCTGTTCCAATGCTGGCTACCCTACTGATTAAGCAAGACAGTTGAACTGTAATTAACGGCACATTCTCTTCCTCTCTTTCCCTCATCTGTGATGCGTGCGTGCGTGGCAGTGCGAGCGAGTGTTATGCGGTGCGTTGGGCGGCGTGTCGTGTGCTTCAAACATAGAAATAATATAGATAACCCGGATCAGTGCGCCGCAGATAGAAGCACTGGAACAAGGCCGCCCCGCCGTAACGGCAGAAATTTTCGTAGGCGGGCAAATTACGCAGGAAATTTTCTGTAGGGGGGGGCAAAGGTACTCCCACGCCCTCTGATTGCCCATATTTGTCCATTTAAAAGGCATACTCTTGAAAAATCTCTTAGGGGCGGGGCCAACTGCCCGCTGTGCCGCCCCGCTGCGTACGCCCTGAGTGTGCGAAGCACAGTGCTGCAGTAAATTTTGGGGTTACAACAAGTGTGTTCCTATACATTTTTGGTTTTTACAATCTCTCCGGCAAAGCTCACCAGATTGCCATCTCCAGAGTCTATCATCTCAAAAAATGTTCAGGGGCGCATGCTACCCAGCACCCCCCTACATGCAGCGCGCCCTACGCGCTGCTTTTTATTATCACCTGAGGATGTTTATCCTTCTGTGCTTCTACTTTCTTAAGAGCCTGTGGCGCCAGTGGACCGCGATGTTACTATATATTATCTATCGGCCCAAACACACACATCTACCATTGCAGCATCACACTCACATACACCAGGCATTGTGTCGGTTTACGGACGCGTTTCATTAGTTCAATGTGTGATGATA